GTTGTTCCACCTCCCCTCCCTTATTACCTTACCACTCCCTCACAGCTACCCGCAGTCGTTGCCTCCACCTGGTCCTTCCACCGGCAGCCACGACCCACATCCTACCCCTGCACCGACTCCAACTTTTAATGTCGCAGCGCAGGCACTGCAGCCTCTCTCTCCTCGCCATCACCACAACGCACCCCCGCTTGTGCGTGTCTCGGACATATCCGCACACAATGGCATATTCCGCATTTCGCAGTGGTTGCAGATGGCCACGCACACATTGCTGACAAGTATTCCTCACGAGATGTGGTGCAATGTGCTTGCAACCAAGTTGCGAGGCAGCCCTTCCACTGCGTGGCAGAGCTATTATGTTCATCACACTCACACGGGTCAGGTACCCATGTTTGCGGACTTCACGACCTTCCTTCACGACCGCTTTGGCGTTTGGAATGATGCGACCGACACCTTCGATCAAGTCACCCAAACCCGATGGTCCAGATCCACTGCACCGACCGACCTGGCGCCTCACATCCGGGTGTTCCACCTTGATTGTGACAAGGCGTTCCTCCGAGAGATCACCCTTATCGACCGGTTTATTGTTAGTCTTTCGATTAACTACCAGCTGAAGCCATGGAGGCGGGCATTTTTCTCAACGGAGCAGGTTTATGAGGCTGCTCGTCGGTATCAAAGGATGTGCGATCTTCTTTCTACCGTCCTGTCCTTTTCGCGGTTTGCCGCCACCACCCAGTCTCGCGACACCACTCCAGGCGGCTCCTCCTTTGCTGGTCGTTTTCGTCGCCCGGCTCTACCTGGAGCACCATTCTCGGCGCTACAATGCGCTCGAGTACAACGACGATGCTACGACCGAGGTCGACCCTACCCATAAAGATACCCTAGAGTATATCGAGCTCAGGAACGTTATCCAATACCATTTGGATGACGAGGACATCCCTCTCAATGATCGCTTGCGGATGGCTAATGCTCGCTATGGGTCGTGCTTACAGCAGGCTGCACAACTTGACGCCCGCACGTTCGTTGTTCCGCAGGTGGACCTCCTGCGGGGTTTTGTCCCTCTGCGTGGAACCTTATCCCCTAAGGAGCGTACCGCCTTCGAGGCCGCTCCTCGTTTGCTGGTCGTTTTCTCCGGATGCCTCAACTCAGAGCACCATTGTCTGGGCGCTAAAATGCGCTCGAGTATGGAGACGACGCTACGACCGAGCTCGACCTTACCCTTAGGGATACCCCGGAGGATATCGAGCTCAAGGACATTATCTAGTACCATCTGGATGACGAGGACGTGACCCTTAGTGATCACTTGCGAAAGGCTATGTCCACTACGGGTCATGCTTACAACAGGTCGGCACAATCTGGCGCCCGCATGTTCGTTGTTCCGCAGGTGGACCTACTGTAGGGTTTTGTCCCTCCACGTGAAGCCCTATCCCCTAAGGAGCGTACCATCGTTGAGGCCTGTCACGGTTGCATTCATTGCCACCAGGATGAACACACCTCCTTGCGGTGCGCATACCATGCCACCCTTGATCATAACTATGCCGACATCTCTCATCAACGTCGATCGCAGTCACCCCATGGCACCCCCCAGCCCGCACTATCTACCTAGCCACTGTGCAGTATACTGCTAAGGCCTCATTTGTAGCCGGCTTCCCGACCACTGAGTCGCGGTCCGCCCCTTTGGCTACCATACCAAAGATTCCTTAGGACTCGACAAACGCAGTTCCCTCTACCCCACCATTTGTTGAGGTACCGTCTGCCCCACAACAGACCGTTGTATATAGTCCTTCCCCTCCGAGACTTCCAACATGTCATGGTACTCGCACAACTCGTTGTAGTGCTCAGTTGGTGACTCCCGATAATGTTGTGTCATCTCTCCTCGATATGAGCATTCTTTAGGCTCGTCAACAGTGGCTTACGAGACCCATACACATCTTGCGTCGTCTTCTGGCTCTACTCTCAGACCCTAATTGCACCCTCTCTATCATTCTCATTCGCCTTGGGACATTTACAAGGGTGTACCGTGCCTTATGGGACTCCGACTCACAAAGGAGATTTCGTTCACCCTTGCCTGGTTGAGGAAGCTCGTTTAGCTACCTCGGAGTCTCGCTCTCCTATCTCTATTACCCTCGGAGATAATAAGACGCAGCCCTTATTCAATCAGACGGTCCCCGACCTCCGCTACTCTCTTACCCTCCAGCTACCAGATAGTACCCAGGCGTCTCGTCGCTACTATTCCTCTGAATATTCGATGTGTGAGAAATGGTTAATGGAAGACCCAAAATTGAGATGGTTAATGGAAGACCCAAAATTCGGCGTCTTGTCCAATTGCAGAAAGAAATGAATGAACCTGAGAGGAGAGAGAAGGTTAGAAGAAGAAGAAGAAGTAATAAAAAAGAAGAAGATGATGATGTACACCAGCATAAACAAATGATATAAGCTCTTCTTCTTCGCTCAACTCTCTCTTCCTCCGTATCTCCTCCTCTCTTATTCACACAAGAATTAATAATACAATGTTGAATAGCTGAACCAGAATCAAAGTCTGAATCCCTCTTCTACTGCAGGTTTCACTTGAGGTCCACCATAGCCATGGCCGACTCTCCCACTCTTCACTCTCATAGGCCGAGGCTATGGCGGACTACTAGGCCTTGCCCAGATGCCCAAAGAACAACCCAAAGCAGCTATGGCTGCTCTAGCTCAGGCCGCCATGTCTGACCCTGCCTCGAAGCTTCTTGGTGTAGCTCAACCCCAGCAGGGGCCTTCCTGCTGCAGCACACACCAAGGTGATGAAGATGGCTGCCACCATAGCCAGGTAAGTACCCCTGGTGCTCCTCCCCCTTCCTGTCCTTCTTCCTCCTTCGAGTCCTTGCTTCTTCCCCAGCAGCGCTGCTCCAAGCTAGCGCTGCTCCAGCCAGCGCTCCAACCAGTGTGTCGCCAAACTTGCACACCAACAATGAGGCCGGGCTCTTCGCCCAACTGGGAGATATAGCGGCCTGCTTGCCTCTTCGGGCGGTGACTTCCAGGCCGCTCGGCCTTCCAAGCAATCGGCACCTCCTCCCTTTCGGAGGGAAACATCATTGCAGACTCTCATATTGCCCGTACAGGCCCTAGACCCAAACTGGTTGGACTGGCACCCGCCTAGACCTAACCTACAATTATTGGGCCTCTAAAGATGCCACTTTTGTCTTCTTCTGCTCGGTCTCCAGTACCCGCACATCTACCTCTTCAAGGTGCGGTACCGGCCTACCCGCTACTTGAGTGTTTTTCCCGCTGCAATCCCTCAATGTCACGGCCACAGGTAAGTACCGGCCCTGAGGGCCCAATGAACGAGCAAGTGCCATTGCGGGCCACACACACACTCAACCCAACCAGCAGGCGGGAAACTCAGCAAGGCATTCAGTCTATGGGCAAAACTCAGAAATCAGTCGTGTGTCAGTCCATGTTTGCACAAGTCATCACACTACTCCCCCCTCAAGAGCGAGGTCCCTTCGAGCGAGTAACTCATTATGAGTCCTCGACAAACGCATCGTAAGCAAGCAAGGCAAAGAAGTTCCTAGAATACTCCGTTGCAGTGAGCCTTGCGGAGATCTTCGGAGTAGTGTTAGCTGCAATTTGTCGCTTGTAGGCTTTAATAACGCGAGGTGTGCTGCGTAGCAGTTCCTGCTTGAAAATCCAGTACACATCGTCCAACGGGTGATACATGCAGTGAACCTGGTACTGTCTGTTGCGTACCTTCCCTACGTGCTGTTTAATTTTGTCTATCTCATGCCCACCTTTGATTGCACGAGGGATCATGTCTTCGCGATAGTTTCGATGCATGGAACACGAGGGATGTGTGCAAATGGGCTGGCACATCAACTACGTACGAAGGGCCAAAGTGATCTTCGCCAATCACATCCAAAACTTCCCACGGACCATAATAGAGTGGGAGAAGTTTGTGAGAGACTCCCTCTTCTTCTGAAAATTCAGACATCTTGACCCAGACATAGCTTCCTATCCGACGGTCGGCGCCTCTTGTTTGCATGATGGATCATGGCCTGCTATCGCTTGGTCATTGCTGCAATGGCAACCTTGAGCAAGAGATCGTACTTGGCCCTGAAACCAGGCCTGCCGGGTGTTAAGCCAGCTGGCTGCTCAGGGAATAGGTAGGAGAGCGGATTACGGATCTGCAAACCGTAATGCAACCTGTTGGGTGTTATGCCGGTGGCAGAATGGACGGAGTTGTTGTGCAACCCCTCAACGGAATACAACTCTTCAGATATCATACACAACCAGTTCCCTAGTTGAGACGTGAAGTCCTTCCATTCACTACTAATCAAGCGCGGATCCTGATCGCTCACAAGAGTCTTCGGGGTTCCAAACTGCAGAATGTACTTCTGTTTGAACTCACAGATCACTAATTCTGTTGGAGCGTGAGGTGGCAAAGGGATCAGATTAAGGACCTTAGAGAATCGGTGAACAATCACCATGACTTGTGAGTAGTCGTTCTTACCTACCTTTCCCATGTCGGTGAAGTCGATGGAGACAGACTCCTCAGGACCATCGGGAATGGGAAGGGGTGTGAGTAGCCCCATGGGCTTTTGTCTGCATGGTTTAATTCGTTGACAAACTTGACATTCAACCACAAAATTTTCAGCAGTCCCTTTCATGCCAGGCCAATCAAACTGTCTCAGCAGATTTGCGTACGTCTTTGCCATGCTGAAATGTCCGCTCCGGCCATGAGCCAAATCCAGAAAGTGTGTGCGGAGAGGCTCATGGTTGGGCACACACAAGCAGTCGTGGTTCCCATAGAGACGAAAAATCAGTCCTCCATACTCGTGAAATCAGGCTGACTGCTAGGGTCAGCTCGCAGCCGCTCAAGGATGGGACTAAGCTCTGGATCCTTGGCTGTGTGCTCTACGAGCTCCTCCTTCAGTTTCTTCTGAAGGTCGTAAGCTTTCACAAGGCAAGTCATCTACTCGGTTATAACAACCCTTTTTCTGCCTTAACTCGAAACCGTAAATGTCAATTTCATGGAACCACCGAAGCAAGGTAGGGGACAGGGTAGGTTGCTGTTTGATCCACTTCAGAGTCTCATGATCCGAGAATACTTTGAAGTGGCGTCCAGTGGTCCAACGCCATACGCAAAACATAGAGCTCGCGCATATAGGTGGAAGTGGCTACCTTTTCGTTGGGCATGCGTTTGCTGTGGTATTCGAGCGACCGCAAGCCATCGCCGTCATCTTGCTGCAGCACTGCGTTGATTCCATACTGACTTGCATTCGTAGTAACTACGAATGTCAGTTTGGGATCTGCAATGAGGAGTACTGGGTAACGTACCAAGGCTTCTTTCAAAGTTTGAAAGGCGTTCGTGCAAGCGGTGTCCCAAGAATAGGGAACATCTTTACTTGTCAATCGTGACAATGGACGAGCAACAATGGAGAAGCGTGGCACAAACTTTCGGCAGTATGACGCAAGACCAAGAAAAGAGCGCAATTCGCGAGCGTTCACGGGCTGAGGCCAGTTGCGTATGACCTCAACCTTGATTGCCTCAGGTTCTAGGCCCGCAACAGACAACCGATGCCCAAGATAGATGACGCTATCCTTCCCAAACTCAAATTTCTCTAGGTTGAGATGGAGTTGCGTCTTCTTAAGGATAGTGAACACTTCCTCGAGGTGCTCGAGGTGTTCCTCCATGGATTTGCTAAAGATTAGTATATCATCGAGGTATACCACCACGAACCGGCCAATCTGTTCACGGAGGACCTTGTCCATCAGGCTTTGGAAGGTGGTCGGTGCGTTCGTGAGACCAAAGGGCATTATGGTAAACTCGTAAAGCCCATCGTGTGTTTTGAACGCAGTCTTGTGCTGGCCCGCAGGATCGACTTCAATTTGGTGGTAGCCAGACTTGAGATCGATCTTGGAAAAGACCTTGCACCCACCTGCGGCATCAAGCAAGTCATCTATGAGGGGCAATGGACAGGCGTTCTTTCTTGTGATGCGGTTTAGACCGCGATAGTAAATGCACATGCGAAGCTTGCCTCCTTTCTTCAAAACAAACAAAACAGGAGCACCAAATTCAGACTCACTAGGCTTGATCCACCCTTTGTCAATCATTTCGTCAATCTGTCGCCGGAGTTCCTCCAACTTATCGGGTCCCATTCGGTATACGCAGCCTTTTTGAGGAACAACACCCTCGACCAACTCGGTGTGTCGGGCCGTTGCATGCGGACTCCACGTGGCTCGGCCAGAACTTCTGAGAACCGATCGAGTAGGTTTTGGATGTTTGGTGGAACCGGTGGGGGTGGAGGATCAGCAAAGGGATCACCTAGATCAGGTCGCAGGTCGCGAATAGAGGCAACCGAATCTGAAGTACGATCATTTGGACTACTAGAAGGTATAAAAGTAGTAGTAGTGGTATTAACCGCAAAAGTAGATGGCACATCGGTAGGACGAACAAAGGCAACATACAACTGTTCGTCCTCTTTGTGCTTGCGCCATTTCTTGCAGAACTTCATAGCATTCAGAAAAGTTACTGGGGACTCGCGCTTCTCATCCAAGAGGACGGGAAGCTCGTTCCCTTGAGCATCATTGACCATGAAAAGTGACTCCTTCCACTTGGTCCATTCACATTGGGACTGCAACCAGCCCAAGCCAAGGACTGCGTCGAAGGGGCACTTGTCAAGGACATAGAAGTTCAACACGTGGGTGACAATTTTGTCCTTGACAAAGGTCGTGCGCACACCTTTGACTGCATGCGTAGAAGATACAACTTCTTTGTTGCCAACTTGGGTTCGCGAGGGTTCTGCAAGGCCACTTGCTTCATTCCCAAGCCCACTTCGCGTATCCCATGAGGTGACATAAAGTTAGCCGTAGCACCACAGTCAATCAAGACACGGAGCCAGCGGTGGTTTATGAGAAGTTTGAAGAAGAAACTTCACAGTCCCTTGGGCATGCTGCTGTTTCATCTCACCCCAATGCTCCAAGTGGTAGTGGACATCGACCGTCCCAGACTCCTCCCAAGGCTCGACATACAAAAACATTACACACTTCAGCCTTGGCTTCAGCAGATGATTGGGCTTCAAGGAAGGACTGCTGATTTGCATCAGATTCAGTCTGCCTCGCTGTAGAGTGTGCTGAAATCGACTCTACGCCTGGGTCTGGTTTCCCTGCAGCCTATAGCAATCCTGTACCTTATGGTTCGGTATACCCCCTTCTTGAGTCTACCCCGCCATTCATTTTCAATGATTCAGAGGTCAACCCACGGTTTAGTGGCCGCATCCTCCGGTTTTGCTGGGATTTTGACTCCCTTGGGAAGTTGGACATAGTTCTTCCCCGCATTCCGATTCGGTCCCCTTGCATTGGCAGTCTTTTTAAGGGCAGTAAATTTTTCCTCTTCTTGGTTTACATCAGACTCATGGACTGACGAACAGGCTGTATCAGTGTCTTGTTCTTGGTCGTCACCAAGAGTGGGGTCATCTGCACCGGCCTCCTCTTCCGCCTCCAGCAGGTCACGCACAGCAAAACGACTGCTGCCTTTGAACCGCCTGCCGCCCATGGGCTTTTTGCTGCCAAATGTGGAGACGAGGTCTATGGCCTTGAGACTGACTATGTCCGTCATCAGAGTGAACCAATCAGTGTACCCAGTGAAGTCCCTGCCTAGGCGATTTGTGAAACTGGTGGGAAGCGCGCCTTTGACCACTTCCAAGCGAGATTCATCAGTCAGTTCTAATCCGGGTGTAGCAAACATCTTGTTGAGGTAAGCCTGGAGGCTTTTCATGGAGCCCGTCCACTTGCTGCGTTTGATTTTATCAAGCTGGCTTCTTGCGCTTGTTGCAGCGTTTGGGTCCATGTATTGCGCAATGAGTTCCTCGAGGGAGGCAACCGAGGTGGCCTCAAGCCACCTTGTTAGTTCTATTTTGGGAACCCCAGCTCGCGTAGCTTGGACTTCTAGGAAGCCCCACACAACCGACTCGACATTCATTCCCATAATCACGGACTGGGCCTCGGGTTGAGTCCCCAGAACTTTCGAAGTATGCCCTCGTGGAGCTGATCCAGGATTCAATGTCCTCTTTGCCGTCATACTAGACGGTATTTGCACCGCCTTTCGGTCCACATAAGGACCGGTGTAGCTGGGCCCAACACCTGCTGGTTCATATCTTGGGGCTGCAGCAGTTGCAAAATTTCCTGCCTCGTTGCTTGTTACAACAACAGCAAAATCTGCACCTGTTGCAGGTCCCGAGGGGTTTGCCATCACACTCAAGGAAGAAGTAGAAGAAGATATGGTAAGAGGGGCAAGGTTAGTTACAATTGCAGCTCCGGAACCAGGGGGCAGAGGAAGAGGATTGGCCACTTGGGCCTGACGCAGCGCAGCAACCTCTACTATCAAGTCACAGTACTTGTCGGTCATCTCAGTCAGATCCTCTTGAAGTGTCCACAATTTTGCGAAGACGTTGGCGATCTGAGTGGTATCATCTTCAATGCTCCAGACTTGACGATAGCGGTGAGTATGGACTGCAGTTGTTCCCCACACTGCTCTTTGGTCAGCGAGGGGACAGTTTCCAAGATGGCCTGCTAACTTTTCAGCAACAATTCCTTCCTCTCCTTCTCTCTTGTCCCCTTTTGATGGCACTATCTAGGAGTGCTTGCAAATACGGTTTCTCCGCACCGCTAGCTGCATCTAATAGGGCCTTCCACTGGACTGAGGTTAGCTACGACTGGGCCATTTTCGGACCGTTGTCGTCGATAGGTGGATCGGAGAGACGCCAATCAGCAAAAGAATCAATCAGACTCTCAAGAGGAACACTCCCCTTTTCGCTTGGACGAACACTCCGTTTCCCAGTCCTTGCCCACCCCAGACGATCACTTTCCCTCTCTTCCTTTTCTCTCTCCCTCCTCTCTCTCTCTTCTTTCTAGTTGCGAGTCACCACGGGCATCGAAAATGAACTCGGAGAAACAGACTGTAAAGCTCAAAGAAGAGAAGGCAACATTTCATTTGGACTTAGAGAGTAGCAAACCAAAGAAAAGCAAACAAATTCACGGGAGAGGTCTGATCCATCAACCCAGTCTGATCAGACTGCATACGAGGTCCTCTCGAGTCCAGTCTGACCAGCTCCTTGACCGTGCAGCAAATCAGACAACGAGTGACTAAATGCAACAATGGAGAATTGAGTGGTGTACAGGGTGCGAGTCAAGCCACGGACGATGCAATCCAAAAGCATGCGAAACGTCTCAGCCGATATTCCCTCGACAGTGGGTGTCTTGACCAACAAGAATAAAACTCCGGATCTCAGTCAGGAAGAGAATGGACTAATGTCTAACAGATTCGGGTCCAAGGGGCTCTTCTTGTTTGGGCCCGGTCCCACTGGGTCGCAAGGGTCCCACGTAGGTCGTGACCAAGTCCCAACCAAAAGGAGTCCCACTTGGACTAAGTTTCTGCTTTTACCATCCTGAAAACGAATTTCAACTTCCGGCAGAACCTACAGACTACAATCGTTCAAAGATGAAAAGAAAAAGCATTGTAGAAGGGATTGGCATTCAAATCAAGATACTTCGTTTCTCCATCCATCATGTGAGTAGGTAGATCACACACATTGAATCACACAATCAAGACCACAGAGTAGGACAAAAACCCAGAATAAACCCAGCAGGACAATCAATACCATGCACACATACATGGGTATCCCATAGGTGCACGACACTTACCTGAGTAGCCTGAGCTTCGATCCTCCTGACCCCTTTAGTGCTACAAATCGTCTGTATATGTCATCCTATGGGCGCTCTAGCATTTTCTGCTTCGGTCAACACTTCCAAAAATCCGGTTGTGGAGAGGTCGCGCCCTCTGCCATCGATTCGTGACTGCCGCCCTTCAGTTCCCCTACTACGGCGACTCTGTCAACCATAGTAACCGACAAATTTAGGCAAAATACCCCTACACTAGTGTCCTATCTCCTAGGAGTGTCTGACTCCAACACCAAAGTGCAACACCGGGTCCCCCGCCGATGCTGAAGAACAAAGTAGCAACTTGCAGTCCGTAGATGTTGTAATGGTCGTTGACCCTCAAGTTTGCGTACTTGAGGGCAGCCCTTAAGTTGCCAAGTGTCTCCATTGAATCAGATTCCAGGTGCGAGTGCCTCTCACTGTCGCCTCTCTCAAATTGCCGCATGAAGTCCCCACGAAATGTCTCGCCACCCTAATCTCACTCTCAAGCAACTTGGTTAGGTTCAATGTCGGCATCACATGACCTAACCAGGTGGGGCCAGCTTCCCTTAGCCACGCTGCCCCACTTCCCTTACATCCAACTCTAACCCTAAGTGTTGCCCTCAGCCACTTAGGTTAGGGTTAGGGCAGCAAAGTCAACTCTCACCAGCAAGTAGGATCCACTCTGATACCAATATTATGATCCTGGCCAATTTCGAGATACACATCCATCAGTAATACAATGCTGTCCAATTGCAGAAAGAAATGAATGAACTTGAGAGGAGAGAGAAGGTTAGAAGAAGAAGAAGAAGACCAGCATAGACAAATGATATACGCTCTTCTTCTTCGCTCAACTCTCTCTTCCTCCTTATCTCCTCCTCTCTTATTCACACAAGAATTAATAATACAATGTTGAATAGCTGAACCAGAATCAAAGTCCGAATCCCTCTTCTACTGCAGGTTTCACTTGAGGTCCACCATAGCCATGGCCGCCTCTCCCACTCTTCACTCTCATAGGCCGAGGCTATGGCAGACTACTAGGCCTTGCCCAGATGCCCAAAGGACAACCCAAAGCAGCTATGGCTGCTCTAGCTCAGGCCGCCATGCCTGACCCTGCATCGAAGCTTCTTGGTGTAGCTCAACCCCAGTTGGGGCCTTCCTGCTGCAGCGCCCACCAAGGTGCCACCATAGCCAGGTAAGTACCTCTGGCGCTCCTCCCCCTTCCTGTCCTTCTTCCTCCTCCGAGTCCTTGCTTCTTCCCCAGCAGCGCTGCTACAAGCTAGCGCTGCTCCAGCCAGCGCTCCAACCAGTGTGTCGCCAAACTTGCACACCAACAATGAGGCCGGGCTCTTCGCCCGGCTGGGAGATATAGCGGCCTGCTTGCCTCTTCGAGCGGTGACTTCCAGGCCGCTCGGCCTTCCAAGCAATCGGTACCTCCTCCCTTTCGGAGGGAAACATCATTGCAGACTCTCATATTGCCCGTACAGGCCCTAGACCCAAACTGGTTGGACTGGCACCCGCCTAGAC